CATGGCATGGATCGACTACCAGAAGTCGTTTGACTCCGTCCCCCATTCATGGTTAGTAAAAACATTAGAAATATATAAAATTAATACAGAACTAATATACTTCCTCCGGCAAACCATGGATAGATGGAGAACGCAACTAGCGGTGAACCAATGGTGTTTCATACCTTACTGACACCTCAAAAATCCGGAAAGGCATTTTCCAGGGGGACAGCCTGAGCCCAATATGGTTTTGCTTGGCACTTAACCTACTTAGCTCTATGCTAAAGACTACGGGTACTAGGTAACGAAAAACCCAAGTGTTCGACTAACGCACTTGTTCTACGTAAACGATTTGAAGCTCTACTCTGCAAATAGGGACCAACTACACAGCCTGCTAGAACTAGTGTCATGTTTAGCGATATTAAAATGAAATTCGATATCAGTAAGTGCGCATACATGAACGTGATGAAAGGAAACATTATAGAATCCGAAGGCATCGACTTGAGGGGAGGACAACACATCGCAGGGCTCGAACCAGGAGAAAAGTACAAATATCTTGGTGTGCAACAGTCCGCTATTATAGACCACACTGAAATGAAAAAGGCCATCGAATCATCTTTTCTCCAACGCGTGACCAAAATAATCAAAACGGAATTATACTCTGGGGCAAAAGTCACGACAATTAATTCTTGGGCAATACCAACTATATCCCACACATTTGGTATATTGAAATGGAGCAAAACAAACCTGGAAAGCATTGACAGGAAAGTAAGAGTGCTTCTAACAAAATTCAGGTCCCACCACCCACAAGTTTCGACTGCCAGATTATGCCTTCCGCGGGCAAATGGAGGACGAGGTTTACAAAATCTAGTCTTACAACACCACCAACAGACCACCAACCTCAGAGACTACTTTCTCCATACCGATCAGCCATTGCATCCAGCGCTAATACAGGTTGATGACGGATATTCGCAGCTTAAACTTGCAGATAAGAATCCCCCACCAATCCCAGTTAGAACCAGCCAATTCGAGGAAGAACGGAAAGCGAAACCATTACATGGACGGTATGCAGCCAACCTCAACGGAGGTGAGGTCGATAAGAAGCTTTCAACGTCTTATCTTTCTGATGGGCTGTTAATGTTCGAAACTGATAAACGCCATACAAAGACAATACCTACGAGAAACCGGAGAAAATTCATCCTAAAATAGGACTTACCATCTGATAAGTGTCGACTATGCCAGACCACTACTGAATCCATTCAACACCTAACTGCTGGTTGCACATATCTTGCCCCGAGGGACTACCTAAACAGGCACAACCAAGTTGCAGGCGTAATACATCAGGAACTCTGTGTATAAATGGTGCTCCTTACTGCGAAAGTCCCATACTACAAATACCAGCCTCAAACGGTACTAGAAAACGAATGGTGGAAAACCCTGTGGGACCTAGCTATAACAACGGGTAGGACAGTGAGTCACAATCGACCAGACATCTTAGTTTTTGATAAGAAGCAAATTGGCAACTTGTCACACCGTGGGACATATACTGGCAACAGATGGTCGCGTTGGCCTATAAAGACCCCGCGAACATTGGCCGTATCCAGTATCTTTATTTCGCCTATTGCTAGTTAATTAATAGGGCATTATACACTCGTACATCTTTAAAAAGCAATAATTGCTGTTTGAAGGTGTATTACTTTTGATGTTGAACTTTATCTATGAAGAGTTTCAGTGCCCAATGGTTCTGCTTGGCTCTGAATCTTCTGTCCAATATTTTAAAAAATACTGGATATGGATACACAATTAAAGCCCTGGAACGCACCTAAGTTGTTAGTCATCTGTTCTATATGAACGATTTAAACATATATGCGGCCAACGAAAAACAACTTCAAACTGTTCTGAACCTAGTCCATAAAATCAGTACAGACATAGGCATGATATTTGGTACAAAAAAATGACAAATGGTTAAAGTAGAGAGAGGAAAACTGAAAGACACGCCTGAGATATCACTTGACAATACAGTCATATCGGTTATGATCAAAGATCTCTACAAATAGCTGGGCATACTACAAACTAGTAAAATCGAACATACTTCAATGAAGGATATACCCACACGAGGGAAAAAATGTTGGGGTTGGAAAAAATACTTAAAACAGGATTAAATTCACTTAACATCACAAAATCCATTAACATATAATATATTATGCAACTCCGGTATTACAGTACTCCTTTGGAATTGTTAAATGGAGTCACACGGATCTGGAAAGAATAAACACCAAAATCAAAGTAAGATTAACCAAAAATAGAATGCACCACCCCAAATCTTGTAAAGAACGAGTATTTCTACCTCGAGAAGCAGGAGGTAGAAATATAGCAGATTCTGGCAGCTTTATCTGTTGACTAGATAAAGCTGCCAGAATCAAATAATGCGACTAAAAAATTGTTTAATGAAAGTGAACCAGAAATTGCCAAAGCTATTACAACAGCAAATATTAACTATACTCCTCTCAACCTAAGTGACAGAACATATAAACCCCTACC